TTTATTTTGTGATATTTTTGTAAATACTCCTAGAAATTAGGTTGTTCAAATATTATTATTTGTAATTATAATTTACTGTTAACTAACTATTATATATTAATGTTTATTGATAAACGCCATTATGAATTAAAAGTCAAAGGTTGAGATAAGAGTTTTATCAGTTTATTATAACAGGAGTTCAGTATTCATTCATGTGATTGTGATATAAATATTATAATATAATATATTGACAGTACATATCTATATTTTGTTAAGACTAAGGTTAAGGTTAGAGATATAACAAGTAAGTAGAGTCTACTTAATTTGTTAAATCATATAAATCATATTAAATCATAGTAGAATTAGTATATGTATTAAAAATTTACACCACAGTATAATTAAGTCAATGCCACCACCAATATGAATTTTATTCAAAAAAGGACCACAAATAATAAACAAATTTAAATATTAAGTTATTTATAATATAAAAGTGCTTGCAGATTTTAATTAGATGTAATTAACTTTATAGTTTAAAGTGTGATATCGTAAAGAATTTCCTTAAGAATAGGTCCGAAATTCTCTAAATAGAATTCGTGTCCATTTCTCTTCTCGATGTCACATATTATCTGCAAATCTTTCAATGGATTCATGAGTTTTGATAGTTTTGTTTGTGTCTCCAAATCCGATCGGTATCTCAGATACAGATAGCGTTGTAGTAAATAAATATACAATTGTTGCTCGGCTCTAAACCAGGTATAAATTAGGATACAATTAAAATACAGACTAAATCATATAAATAACTTATAATCCAATAATTAAACTAACTTTACAACTTCCCTGTGCATAAGATTAGGTCGATTCGGGTTAAGCAATACTATAGTTGTCAACTATCAAGTAATTAATAAATCATTAATATTAAGTTGTTTTTAAAATTAAAACAAGTATTACCAAATCAAAAATGATAAAATCCCTATTCCATTCTGGCAAGATTTTATTTAAGAAATTTTTATAATATTGGTACAGGTTACGTTTTTCAGACTTCAACACATCCAGCTTGAATAAGCCAGCGGTGGGGTTGTCTGAGTACTTAATAGTAGAAAATTTAAAAATAATTAAAATACAGACACATTAAATAGTGAATATACTGACCAGGACCAATGTCCAGTATTCTGTGTTAATGTCATACAGAATAGTCGATCGGAATATAATAGTCTCGAGACAGCCATACTTAATGAGCGCCAACTGATCGTTGGGACAGAAGTTTCTAAAAGCGCTTAATTTTTTGGCAAATTTAATCATATCCTGAATATCCCTATCCATACTTATATGACACCTACGGTTCAGTTCATCCAGCTCGGTTATCTCAATAATATTTGTATAAAATGGTTGGTAACTGAAAACATTTGAAGCGATGAACAGCTCAGACAGTCGTCTATTTTCTAATTCATTGAAATAATTCGTGTTTTTAATGTGTGTGAAGACTGGTTTGAATAGTAGTTTCAATGAGTTTTCATTAATTATTTGGTTTAATTCATTTAATCCATTATCTTCTGTCACATAACTTCCAGTCTCATTAATCTGCTCAAGAAGTTTATCATCATTTGTGTCACTATTCTCTACGATTATCTCAGTATTTGTCATATTTGTCACACATAGAGGCGTCTCATCAGTATCTGTGATATCATTGTCTTGATTGACTTCATCTGATATTTCTTTACACTTTCGTATTAATGCCTTAAATACAGTATTATTTTGACATTATACATTTTTAGACATTAAGGATCTGTGAAATAACTTACAATTTTCATGCCTTTTTCAAAACATTTCTTTAATCGACAATATTTGCATAGTCTTCGTGTTTCTATAGTTATTACACATTTTCCGCCTTTGAAACATTTGATAAACTTTTTGTTGTAACAATGTCATTTATGTAATTAATTAAAATACCACTTATGTAATATATTATAAAATACCTCATATTGTAGTGCATTTCTTCTGAAATATACTTTACATGACAAACAAGTAATGGCACCAAAATTTCTGCCTAATTATTCAAATTAAACGTAAATATTTCATTTTCTTAATTTTAATATAAAGTTCATTAGTTTAACTAAAGTAAGCAATACTAATACAATAGATATCTTAAATTTATTTTTAAATTAATTAAATATTCCAAATTGAATATAATTACCGACTGAAGTATCACCACAAATATCACACAATAACAGGGTCCATTTACGTATATTTTGTTGTCCCATTATATCCAATGTTTTACAATATTTATTTAACCAAAATAATGACAAATATTACAATTTGTATAAATATTTATAACTTTGAGTTTGCCAAATAATTATTAATCATTATCGTATTTAGTATCATTTAATATTATGTCTGAATTAAAATAAATGGTATAAATATATGACTTTCTAATCAGTTTATTAATTGAGTTCATATGCTTTTTATATAAAAAGGCCTTTTATTTTATCAAAATATCCTCTAGTCATAAAGGTACATGAGTGCCTTATTTAACTACAGCATAGTAGGTGGGGAAATATGTTAGTTATTGAAAAGGTAGATTAGTAATTTAGTGAGCATCAGTTTTTGATAAGAATATTTCTAAGAATTAAAGTATTATCCAATCTGTCACGAGTTAAAATCAAATTATTCTAGACTATTTATATTTATTTATAATAATATCACAAAATATAGCAATATTATACCATTTGAAATTTGCTGAGAATACGTAGAACTTTTTAAATATAGTTAAAATTTATGTGCTCAATAATTTACTTATTATATTAATTTATAGTTAATAACAAAGCATAAATTGAGAGAGATAATTTTATCAACTATTATGCACGTGTTTATCGACTGATCATTAGCATTATAAAATAATTCTTGAGTTAGCAAAGTAAATGGTATTACTTCTAAAGTGTAATTACGTTATAAGTTAGTCCAACGGGAAATGTATTTTAGTGTAATGCTAAACATGCTTAGTATTGTAAATTTTATTACAAAATTTGCACTTTTATAAATGTATGTCATAAAAATTAATGTGTGATATCGTAAAGGATTTCCTTAAGAATAGGTCCGTAAGTCTCTAAATAGAATTCGTGTCCATTTTCCTTCTCGATGTCACATATTATCTGCAAATCTGTCAATGGGTTCATGAGTTTTAAAAGTTTTGATTGTGTTTCCAAATCCGATCGATATCTCAGATACAGATAGCGTTGCAGTAAATAAATATACAATTGCTGTTCGGCTCTGAATAATATATTCGAGAAATTCTGTTATTTAAAATTCTGTAAAAAATAAATATTTTCATCACATACTTAACCACATCTCTGTGTATAAGATTGGGTCGATTCGGATTAAACAGTACTATTGCCGTCATCTATTAATCAATAAAAACAATAATTTTAACATTTAATTACATAACAAAAATATATATTTATACCAGGTCTAAAATAATGAAATCGCGACTCCACTCGGGAATGATTTTATAAAAATAATTCTTATAAAATGCATACAAATTTCGTTTCTCATACTTCATGACATCCAGTTTGAATGAACTCACTTTCAGTGAATTGTCTGTGTTCTAGGTTCATTTAAAAACAATCGCTATATAAAATAGTTTAAAACTTTATTCAGCAACATACCAACACCCAGGTCCAATATTCCGTATTGATATCGTATAGCATGGTATACCGGAGTAGCAGTACCTCAAGACACCCGTACTTAATGAGCGCCAACTGATCGTTAGCGCAGATGTTATTAAAAGTGTTTAACTTTTTCGTGAACTTAATCACATCCTTGGCATCCCTGTCCATTATGACACCGCATATGCGGTACACTGTCAGCACATCCGTCATCTCAAAGACATTTTCGGCCGAAAATGATTGACACGTGAATACATTGGAGGCGCTGAACAGCTCCGACAGCCTCTTAGACTCCAATTCGTTAAAACTGTGAAAGTCTTCGATGTGTCGGAAAACGGGTGTAAATCTGAGTTTCAGTACGTCCTGCGGGTTATGATTGAAATTAATTGTTTTATTGTGCGATAAATAGCTCTCTATTTCATTCAACTGCTCCTCCAGTCTATCATCAGTTGTCGTCACGTTTTCAATGATTTCATGGAAAACACTGTTATCTGTATTGCATTCATAAAAGGGGTTACTTCTAACGCATACAATTGTGCCGTCATTTTGCTCATTAATTTCTTGTCTAGACTTCACTTCTAGTTCTTTACTTCGGATTAATGTCTTAAAAGTCATATTAATTAAAAATTATTAGTTTATCAATTATAATGTATAGCATATATCAAGTATTAATTAATGCAACAAAATATTTACAGTTTTCATTCCTTTGGAAAATGATTGATTTAATCGACAAAATTTACACGTTTTTCGCGATTTCTTATCAATAATACATTTACCAGTGTTTGATCGACATTTATATTCCTGATTATGATTTATAATTATTAATAATTAGATTTCCCATTAAATTACCAATTCGTTAAAACTGTGAAAGTCTTCGATGTGTCGGAAAACGGGTGTAAATCTGAGTTTCAGTACGTCCTGCGGGTTATGATTGAAATTAATTGTTTTATTGTGCGATAAATAGCTCTCTATTTCGTTCATCCGCTTCTCCAGTCTATCATCAGTTGTCGTCACGTTTTCAATGATTTCATTGAAAATACTGTTATCTGTATTGCATTCATAAAAGTCATCACTTCTAACGCATACAATTGTGCCGTCATTTTGCTCATTAATTTCTTGTCTAGACTTCACTTCTAGTTCTTTACTTCGGATGAATGTCTTAAAAGTCATATTAATTAAAAATTATTAGTTTATCAATTATAATGTATAGCATATATCAAGTATTAATTAATGCAACAAAATATTTACAGTTTTCATTCCTTTGGCAAATGATTTATTTAATCGACAAAATTTACACGTTTTTCGCGATTTCTTATCAATAATACATTTACCAGTGTTTGATCGACATTTATATTCCTGATTATGATTTATAATTATTAATAATTAGATTTCCCATTAAATTTTAATTTCTATACCTCATAATACTTGGCATTCCTTCTGAAAAACACCTTGCACGATTCGCACGTTACAGCCCCAAAGTTGCGACCTTGTTTAAATATTACATTTTAATATTTTATACATATTGACAATATATAATTGACAATAACAAATTAGTTTACCGACTGCTTTGTCGCCACAAATATCGCATTTAATGTTAAGCTTCTTGAGTGACATTTTTTATAACAACTTTAATTCAATAAATTCCTTTAAAATATTGTATTTAAAACATAAATTATAGAGAAAATTTAAATATAAACCATTTAAGTGATTCATCACACAACACAGTTTTATTTCTACTAAATTGTAAAATGATAGAGTTATCTACTATAAGGGAGTTTATATTAGTTTGTCAAGTCATATGACTTATACGGTATAAGTTATACCACTGTTTAAAATTGTGTAATAAATTGATAAAATATTATAAAATATATACGACTCTTATGTAATTTAGCAGCTATTTTTAATGCAAAAAATTTGACATAGTTTTATTAAAGTACAATTTTGTTAATTTTATTATTTGTCAACAAGTTACAAAAATTATAAAATACAGTTTACTACAGTGCATTAAGTGTTCATAGCACTTTTGATTATACATTATCATTATAATACTTTGTACAGGTACTAGTATACTGTATAATTTAAATTAAAAAAATATATTTATTATGAGTTAGTGCTGATATCGTACAGAATTTCCTTGAGTATAGGTCCGAAACAATCCAAATAATATTCGTAACCATTTTTCCTCTCAATCTCACAAACAATCTTTAAATCGATTAATGAATTCATGAATAATGAGAGCTTTAACTGGGAATCAGATTCTGATCGGTATTTCAAATATAGATAGCGTTGGAGTAAATAGATATACAATTGCTGTTCGGCTCTTAATAATAATACAAATAAAATTTAAAATTTTATAAAACTATAATTAATTAGAAACTCACTTAACAACATCTCTGTGTATAAGATTGGGTTGATCTGGATTAAATAGTAATATCGCTGATAACTGTTTGTTTAAAAATATTCTATCCTGTAATGTAAATTATCAATATTATATTTTCATACCAAATCTATAATGATAAAGTCCCTGTCCCATTCAGGTATTAGCCGTTGAAAATATTTCATGTAATACGAGTATAAATCGCGTTTATCTAGTTTTAAAACATCCATTTTGAATGTACAGGCTGTTATAGTGTCCGAGTCCTACAATCCATTTATTCATACAGTTTAATGTAAATGATTTTTGAGTTGATATGAAATACTGACCGAAACCCACGTCCAGTAGTCGGTGTGCATATTATAGTGTAGGGACTGGCGGAGTAGTAGCATCTCATGGCACCCGTACTTAAACACAGCCAACTGATCACTAAAACACAAACTATTAAATGAGTTTAGATTTTTTGTAAACTTAATTAAGTTTTCACTATCCCTGTCCAATATTTTATCACAAATATGGTTCGCTTGCATGAGGTCTGTCACCTCAATCACACGCTTTGTATTCAATGACTTGTAGTTAAATATTTTGGACGCTTTCAATAATTCAGTCAATCGTATGGACTCTAAATCATTGAAACTTTTGTCGCAATAGATTTGTTTGAAAACAGATTTATACACAAAAGTTGCAGATTTCTGATGTGTATTCTCGATTGTATTAATAACACCAGCATTTGTATCAATACTTTGTAATTCTTGAATTTGTTTCCTTAGTATATTGTCATTTATATCATTGTTTTCAATAATTATATTCAATACAGTTATGTCTGAATTTAATTGATCACTATTATGTTCAATGGGTTTCTCTATAGTTTTTGTCACATTTTCTACGATAGTGTTTGGTTTTAATAATTCCTACAATATATGAAATATTATAATAGCTATTTTTATGTTATGTTAAGTTGTTTTATAATTTACCTTTCTCATTCCGATGGCAAAACATTTATTCAAACGACATTTCTTGCAATTTTTCCTACTTTCAAAATCTATTTTACAATCGCCTCCTAAGTAGCATTGCAATTGATTCTGGATGTATAATTCATTTAATTAGCTTATCAAGTATTATCACCTATCTAATGTTTATAGTAAAAATTATTTACCGATTTTAAGGCATTCCTACGAAAAAATAATTTACATGGCTCACAACATATTGCATGATAATGATATCCTGTATTGCAAATATTTATTAGTTTTCACAATAAATTCAATTAATTTTACTAAATCACAGACCTTTAGAGACATCACCACAGATTTGGCATGTTTTATAAGAATTGATTCTGGTCATACTAGCATTATATTTTAAAACATATTTCTATTGTAAATATATTTCTAGAAATACAGTACAGAATATAAATTTATGACATTTTAACTTTTTATTTTGAATAATCAATTATAACTTATATTTAATATCGTAGAGATTATCAGTCACAAACTCGCTTAAATACAATGTTATATTTTTATTATTCGTTAACTATTGAGTATTATAACAGAGTAATAATTACGTTTACAAAATAAATAATTCATTAAAGTCTTGTATAAATCATGAATTATTAATTTGACATATAAAATTTAGATATTTTATTGCTATTAATAAATAATGTTCTAATAAAATATATTTATTTATTATTCATATTTTACAATGAGTACTAATACTAAGTTAAATAAATTATCTGTTTGTAAATTCAATAAAAATAATTACAGAATCGTACAGAACTTCCTTAACAATACATCTAGTACCATTTTCCGTTGATAATTTCTTTTAATTAATAAATACTGTAACGTTTTGCCAAATATTTTTATTATTCTTAATATTTTCAAAAAATATTTACAATAATATAGTTATTAATAAAATAATTCACTGAATTAATTAGCTGTGATATCGTACAGAATCTCCTTAAGAATAGGACCAATTCCATCCAGACAATTTTCCTTCTCAATGTCACAAATAATCTGTAAATCCTTTAACGGATCCATAAGTTTCGCTAATTTCATGTGTGTCTCCACTTCCGATCGGTATCTCAGATACAGATAGCGTTGCAGTAAATAAATATACAATTGTTGTTCAGCTCTACATATCAAGTATTATTAGACAATTAAATTTAATTAACTAATTTAACCTATTAACATGCAACTTATTAACTTACTTAACGACATCTCGGTGCAAAATATTGGGTCGATCCGGGTTAAACAGTATTATTGCCGACAGCTATGGGATATTATAATTAAAATAAATGTTTAGTAAGTTTTTAAGAAATAAAATTTAAAATAATTACCAAATCTATAATTATGAAATCTCTGTCCCATTCTGGGATAGCCTTGTTAAGATATTTCTTATAACATGTGTACAAATCTCGCATTTCTGGCTTTAAGACATCTAATTTGAATAGACATCCACAGGGATGGTCACGATCCTGTATTAAACAACGTTTAAAGTATACATGGTATTTGTACAAAGTATATATGATTTTCTAACAACTAACCCAGACCCATTTCCAATATTCAGTGTTAGTATCGTAAGATATAGAGCAGCGAAGTATTAGTATCTCAAGGCATCCGTACTTAAAAAGTGCCATTTGGTCGTTGAAACACATATTTTTAAACGATGTCAACGATTTGGTAAATTGGATCAAATCCAACACATCCTTGTCCAACATTGTGTTGCAGACTATGTTTATTTGTTTCAGATTTATGATCTCAGTTAACGTTTTTGTTTGCATTGACTTATAGTTGAAAACCTTAGAGGCTTTGAATAATTCTGACAATCGGTTGGACTCTAATTCATTGAAACTGTTTTCGTTATGTATTTCTTTAAACACCGGTTTAAACGACAATTTTATCAACAGATCCTGATAACTATCTCTCATATTATAACTATTATAGCTCACAATCTCTTGAATCTCTTCCCTTACTTTAATAGCATTCATAGCATTACTTTCAATAATTTCATTCAAAACATTGTATTCAGAATCCGACTCAAGAATTGTTTGACTCATTAAACAAACAGTCGTTTCGTTAGTTGTTTGTGAACTCACTTCCGATTCTTTACTTTTAATGAAATCCTTTAAAAATACAATAAAAATTAACTAGAGTATATTTTAATTAAAATTGTCAACAACCTTACCGTTTTCATTCCCATTGTATAACACTTTTTTAAACGACAACTTTTACATGTTTTGCGCGTTTTCTTATCAATTAAACAGTTATCATGTGAACGACATTTTAAAATCTAACATTTATTTTAGACATTTATTAATTTTATGATAATCGACTAAATAACTTATTGAAAATAAATTTACTATATTTTTGAGCGCATTTCTCCTGAAAAATACTTTACATGACTCGCAAGTAAATGCCCCGTAGTTTCTACCTGTAAATTAAACACCAAGATTTGTATTGTTAATGTAAATATTTTTATTTTTATTCATAAACGGATAGATAAAATATAATATTGATTTTATAAATNAAATACTTTACATGACTCGCAAGTAAATGCCCCGTAGTTTCTACCTGTAAATTAAACACCAAGATTTGTATTGTTAATGTAAATATTTTTATTTTTATTCATAAACGGATAGATAAAATATAATATTGATTTTATAAATCATTTACCGTGTGAATAGTCGCCACATATATCACAATTTGGGTTAACACTGTAGCTAGACATACAATTCAATTAAATTAAGTACAATTTGTTAGTAATATTTTTATTCACTTTATTATCATATAATACGAAACATTATCTCAATTATAATATATATATCACATGACCATTTGAAATCTAATGTTATGGATATTGAAAGTAGTACTGTATAGTTACGTGCAAAATAATCAACAAATATAAACATAAATTATATTTATTAATATAGCAACTTCTATTTAAGGTA